GCCAATATTAAAATTTTATTTTGTAAAAAAAAAAAAAAAAAAAGATAAATTATTTCTAAATAATTAATATAAATAATTAGAATTATTAGTTTTAAATAAATATTACTATTATTTAACATTGTTTAAATTACAATAATATAAAATGAAAATCATATTAAAAATCAATAATGGCCAATATATACAATAATATTGGCTGACAACCGATATGGTACTGATTAGGGATGTAACGATTAACCGCGAGCCGGTTGAAAATCGATTGAAATATGTGACGTTTCAAATCAGTTGAGATGCTAAACAAATCGCGATTCAGTTAGGGGTAGGAGTTTATATGAATGTATGTCTGAGGGGAACTTACTGTCTTTCGATGGTATTTTTTCTTTTCATCTTGCCTCTGTGTAATGCATATTAATGTTCATAAGTGCAGCGCTGCTTTGTTTACAGCGGAAACCAAGGAAATGCTTTAAGCGCCGCCTTCTGGCAGAGAGTGAATCTGCGCCTCATTCAGCTTTGCTGTTTCTGTTTCATGCAGATATTTTTTTATGTATAGTTTCACAAAACTGAAGTCAAACCATTCTGTTTTTGCTTCAAATTTCGAAATTATACAATGTAATTTAGATTAAAAACTGCTCATGTTGCATGTATGCAGCATCTTTGTTTGGATCATGATTAAACTGCAGTGGTTGCCTCTAATTTTAAATGGAAAGAGCACAGACAAAGCCTTAGTTTGTTTATATGAAGAGATTTCTTTTATTTGTGTTACTTATTTATTTGATTTGGGTCTTGTTTTAACATTTCAATTTAATTTTGTCATTTACATTTACATTATATTTAAATTTTGTCATTTAGCAGACGCTTTTATCCAAAGTGACTAACAAATGGGGACAATAGAAGCAATCAAAACCAACAAAAGAGTAATAATTTACAAGTGCTATATTATTATAGTGTTTTATTTCAATTTCACAAAGAAACGTACAGTATTTTGTCCAAGCAATAATAAAATGACACATTTAATTTATAATTTGTCTTAAATCTCATTTTGTAAAAAAACGTGAATCGAATCGTGAAATCAAAATCATGAATCAAATCGAATCATGGGTTGAGTGAATCGTTACATCCCTAGTACTGATATATTGTGCATCCTTTGTCTAAACCTGAAAACCTCAAGGTTGGACTGAAAAGAAATCATGTAAAAATAATTTTTTTGCTTCAATTTCTTATTTATTGTTCCCTAAATATTTACACTATCGTTCGAAAGTTTGGGGTTGGTCAGATTATTAAAGTTTTTGGAAAAGTCTCTTATGCTTACCAAGGTTGAATATATTTGATCAAAAATAAAGTAAAAACGGTAATATTGTGAGAAATTGTTACAATTTAAAATAGTTGTTCTATTTAAATATATTTTAAAAACGCAATTTATTCTTGTGAGTCAAAGCTGAATTTTCATGTGTCTTTCAAACATCTTTACTGTCACTTAAATCACAATTTAAGGCATCCTTTCTAAATAAAAGTATTAATTTCTTTTTTAAAAAAAAGGTCTTACTGGCCCCAGACTTTTGAACATAGTAATACTTTATTTTAAAGATATTTTAAAACATTTTTCATTAAACTATAGTATCCAACCATCCAGAATGACCCGCTCTCTGCTGTGTTGTATAACCTAAAAACGTGACACTGTTGCAGATGCCACGTTTTATTCCTCCCAAAGCGTGTCATTCCTGTAGAGACTGTCCTGGTATGGCACAGATTAACCTCTGCCAGCTTGGGAAGGTCACTCGGATACATGTTTCCAGAAACATGGAGACAACAGAGCACCTGCTAGTGGTTTGAGCCCAGTGCTATGTCTGATGCGTGCTGTCTGTGTTGTTCAATGGGAGAATGCTCATTAAGAGGGGATGGTATGTTTTATGTCCCCCACCCCGTGTATTGTCTTTCAGGTATGGTCATTTCTCAGGGATCAACAGGAAGGTGCAGCTGACCTACATGCCAAATGGGCAGCCCAAAGCATCCAGTGAGGAGGAAGGTATGTGTACAGTATGTATGTTGATTCAAATTAGCTGTTGCTGTTGTGTCACTTTTGACCTCTCTGTGTCTATGGCAGATGTTCTGAAGGAGGGTCCATCTCTACTGCTGGTGCTGAAGTGGGGTGGTGAGCTGACGCCAGCGGGTAGAGTTCAGGCTGAGGAGCTTGGACGAGCCTTTCGTTGCATGTACCCTGGAGGACAAGGTATAACTCTACATATGCACCAGCCAGAAAGCTGGCCTAATAAACTGGATAAAAACACAGTGGCCCTAAAAAGTATTTTGAAAATGAAGTCACGCTTAGTAAGAAAGCTGCTTGGCTTGATATATTGTATCTAATGCAATGACATTCAGACATTTTTAAATGTGACTTAAGTGTCTATATACTTTTTGGGGCTCCTGTATGTTTTATTATTCGGCAAATAATATAGAATCTAAGAGCTCTTTATTAATTCTGGGGCCAGTTTTACATAGCGTCCAGTTGAATAATAATAAATAATAATTTATTTTAATAATTTTATATATATATATATAGTATTGAAGCTTTAAAATTAAGGTTTTCCTCAAATTTAAATCTCTTTATATATATATATATATATATATATATATATATATA